TTCATTTGCAAGCGCGATTCAAGCCCGATACGGAAGTAAATTCTTACGTAGAGCAGGTATGAGTGCGTTAAATATTTGAAAAAATTATCCCGCTGGGAGAGCTGCATGAAAATCCATTCGATGAATTTATAATTATTCGCAACGCTGTAACTTCGTTAATTTAATGTTAAAGAGCAAGCACGTGGAAAAATATGAAACACCATTTCTGTTCTTCGCAGACTAGATGTTTGTTTATTTACGCGGCAAGTTTTGTGCATTATGGTCGTCGAACACCGACATCCGGGTGTAATTGTTGAAATATCAATTTACGATGCTCGAGTTGCAATTAGTCAAAGCTGGTAACAGAAAAAATTGCTAACATCGCAAAAAAGAATGATCGAACTTGTTTAATTAAATTCAGAGATTGTCAAAAGTCTCTAATTGATACTTTTGTGTCACATGGTGCCACGAACTCACGCAGATTTTTTCCTGTTTTGCAACTCGTTCAAAAAATATTATTTTATATTTTATTTTATTATTTTATTATCTTATATTATATTTTTTCAGTTCAGGAGAATTCTTATTAATTTTACTTTTATCGTTGCATTATAATTTTCCCAGCACGAAAAAGATGGTTTCTCAGTCGTTCATTGTTATATTTCTTCCGAGAAGATCATTAAAAATCTCTAATTGATATTTTTGTGCCACGTGTATCCATGCAGATTTTCTTTATTTCAGAAAATCTGCATGGATACACGTGCACCGTTTCAGAATAATCTTTGTTAATTTGACTTTTGTTAGTCGCAATTTCCAGCGTGGATAGAGATAGTTTTTTTCAGTCGTTTCATTACATTTTCGTTGAAAATTTCTCGTAGAGAAAGAAAATGAAATAGAAAGAGAAAGCCGAAAATCTGAAGAATCAGAGTGTATACATGCGCATAATAATTGCACTGGACTTAATTTGTATATGTGGTATAACTAGATAAAGAAATATTTTACTAAGTATAAAGAATTTTTTAAATATGAAAGTAATAACATAAGATACTTCATTAAATACAAGGAACAAAGGAAAATTGAAAGAAGGAAAATAAGACTAAAGCAATTTACTAAATATCATAATATGAAATATTTTAATAAATATATAGAAATATTTCAACAGTGTAAGTGTTAAGAACAGAAAAAAATTGAGAAAAAAGAAGGTAAGAATTTATTAAATACTATGACGTGAAATATTTTAATAAATGTAAAAATAATATTTCAATAATATAAATAGTTTGTTAAATACTTTTACATAATATTATTTCTCTTTCTTTCCATTTATGTATAATAATATAGTATAATAGTATATGTTACTTTCCATTTATGTATAATAGTATAGTATAATAGTATTTATATATAATAGTATAGTATAATTTATGTATAATAGTATAGTATATGTTACTTCTAGTAAAATGAAAATATGAAATTACAATTTTAAACGTATTATTTTATACAAAATGAGTTGAAAAATAAAAAAAATTAGGAATTAGGAAGAAAAGTTATAAGAGATGACTGTCCTATATTTCAAATTATGCATAATTATGTCTAACGCATAAAATATTGGTCTCTGGTTCGATTTCGTTACTTTCTCAAATTTATAAAATTTATTTTTCCACAATTCTTTGACAACAAAATGTATAAATTTTATATTCTATAGTTCAATCAATGCGTGAATGAAAATGTTTTGAAATCGCATTATAAATTTATAAAGTCTATTTACAAATAAATTGTGTGCCATGTCTACTTATCATTGTTTTTATACTTTTCAATTTATACTTTTAAATTAAATTAATCTGAAAGGTAGTGAAAAGTTCTTAGTTCAATTAAATGAAGATTATCTCAATAATTCAAGAAATGTAATCGTGAAAAGAGAAATTGTGTTTTAGTAATAGTAATGGTATTATTAAGAAATAAGTAATTATTTACTGAAGATCAAAATATCATAGAATTCTACATTTTGGATCACAGGCATCTATGAAAAAGGATACGTACAAATGTTGTCGCAAAGTTCCTCTCTATTTCATTAACAACGGATCGAGTAATTACGTGATTTTTATCACAGCAGAATGTGGAGTAACGAAAGACCGAGGAATAATTCGATTAATTGTTTAGATCAAAGAAATGTTAAATTAAAAGGGAACACCGACGACGCCCATTTCGTTTCCTTTCTTAGAAAACCATTTTGCTCATTAGCTAATTATTGAAAAAGAACGAAAGTGATAATTGAAGCTTGCCGCTTCGTCAAACGTCAATACAAGATCATCTGCATCGGCGAGAGGATTTTATAATTAAAAGATAAATACAATACGAGGAAATTTATAAATTTATACATTTACACAAATCTATTTTGCAATTAAATCCCCTAGGTCTGTCTTCAGTCTTCAATTAAGGCCGATTGCTCTATACGATTCGAATATACTCATTGAAAGTCACTGTTATTTCTATCCTACAATTTATTTGTGCGAATGATAGGATTGAACGAAATGTGAAATATGAAATTCACGAACGTGAATATTAATTTAGAGATTAAATAGATGTTTCTGACTTCTTCGTGGATTCTTTCGTTTCAAATTTTATAATTTAGATTTTTATAGCTGATGGAGATTTTTACATTTCGTGTAGGGCTTTATTAAAATTTAATTTTTATGTGTTGTAGCTCGTGGAATTATTCAAACCTCTCATAAACATATACACATTATGCGTATTATATGAAACATTTTGAAATTTGAAACAAATCTGAAGACATATGAATCATAAAAACTAAAAAATGTTTAATGCAAGCATATATTTCGTAGAGATTGCAGAAATTGTCTTTAACATTTGTTGTACATTTAAAATGACTATTCTTATATACTTTTAATTAAATGTTTTATTAAATACGTTTTCAATAAATATCTTATAACTTCTTTATAAGTACATTTTCAAATTGATTTCGAATTTTACAAATATAATTATACTATCATTATAGTGTTAAAAAATAAAATTTTTAAATGTTTCGTAGTAAATGCAATATATATATATATATATATATATACACATACATAAAAGTTTTCTATGATAAACGTTCAAATTTTGTATTATATTCTGTATTGTATTCTTATTTAAAATTAGAGTTCAATTCCTATTTAATTCTCATTTAAAATTAAAAAGTGATTTATTTCTGGGTAATAAGCGCCATCTAATGAGAATAATCATCAAATAAGATAATTGTCACTGTTATCCAGTGGACTAAAGGTACCATAATGAAACCACAGACTGTAGACGAAACATAAATCATACAGCTACAGAATAGATGTGAAATCTAATGCATTTTCAAAACATATGATTTATAAAATGATAGATCTATTCTGATTAGTTCTTTTTGATTAAATATCAGGTCCATTCTGTATACATTTCATCCTGAATATGTTTCGATAAATAAAATCTTTTTATAACAATTAATTTTATCGTTTTCGACGATTAAGTTGAATATTCACCAATGGTTGAATATAAATCGCGTCAGAAACTTTCTAATTTTATATCAATATTTTAAAACAACGGTCACTGAAAAAATATAAAAAAATTTCCATATAAAAAAATTAATTGAAATTCCCCACTATCACTATAAATACTGTTAAAAGCTTAACATAAATTATAATAATATAAGTAAATAAGAAATAATATAATATAAGCACAGACGAGGTATATGAATATCTGTTTTATCGACTGTCGTCGAATAAAAAAACTTTCAGTATTTAACAATCGATCAAGTAGAGATTTCATAGAGTACCTCGTAACTGATGGTAACCGAATAGAAAGTGATTCTACGTAAAAAAACGAATCGAAAAGAAAAAAATGAAATTTTTTTATTAAAGCCTCATTTTCGAAAAAATCGAGTTTGAAAATTTGTCAGGTATACGAAGAATTTAGTCTTGATACGCAAATATATATATATTCGATTTACTTTTGAAGCTATTTGATTTATTTTTTATTTTTATTCGTGATAATTTAAGTAATCATAATTAAATAATTATTATGATGATTATTATATAACCAGAAAAATAAAAATATATGTAACTTACGATTAGATACGAGGAGCGATATATGTGGCCCAGAGGAAGTCATTGCAAATATCGTTAAACAGAAACTAAATCACGGTTGAATTCAGTGGGAAATGTGCGTAACAAATCACAATCACGATTGAATACGTATATATAATGACTCTTTTAAATAATATTTACTGTTTTAAACGTATTCGATATATCAAAAACAAGTATTACCCGGTAGTTTTTACTTGAGAATTTCTACACAAGTAGCTTCTTGCTACCTTTCCCGTCGCGTTCGCGCCAAAAACTAACGGTTTTACGTGAATTTCCAGTATTAGTTTGATTAAATCGATTACAAGAAACATCGATTACATCTGAGAATCACAGTACGTAATTGCAAAACTCCAATTTTTCTCGATATATAAATATACTTATTAATTTATTTACATTTGCTTGTAATATTGAATTTTATCATCAAAAATCCTATACAATTCTTTTATTTTATATAAAAAATAATAAAAATCCATTGTACTTATAGTGTGTATCGATATTTTGAAAGTTGCAGCACTCCCACGATTTTAAGCCGCCATTGATTCTAATTATTGCGCGCGCATTTCGAACCAAAGTACGTATAAATTGAAAGAAGAATATTCCTTTTTTTAATTTATTTTTGTTAAATAAAATTTTTAAAAAAATATTAAATTATGTCTGTATATCTGTTAAACCTAAAAAATTACATTCATAAAGCGTAAAAAATTACGTTTGGAATTTTATGTCTGTAATTTTATTTTTTAAATCTTGGTTCAAGTTAAACATTAAATAAATTTAATTTTTTTAAGAATAAATTAGACATGAATCTAGTTTATTCTATCGATTTCATTCTTGTTCAATGCTATTATCAGTAATAATGGCTATTCAATAAACTGGAGTGATACATGCTTTGCACGACAGATGGACTACGTAGTTCGTCTTCAGAAATTAATTTTGTTTATGAAACATGAACTTGTCTGTGCTTAGTGCTTAATAACCTAATCGTTGACAATTTACATGAATAATTATGACAAATACTGGAGTTACATTATCAATAGTTACATATTAAACTGAAATTATTCATAATTGTTAAAACTATGGAGAAAACTATTGTAGCCAATAGCGATGATAGTAAACGACTTTCAACTTTAGAAAAAGAACAAAGAGCAATTGATAAAACGCCTTTTCGACATTTAAAAATTACTAATGCAGAACTTTTGGACACGATAGAAGGCAGAAAAATATGCCACCGTTGTTACAGATCGAGAAAATTTTTTTGTTATTCATGCTATTTGCCTGTCATCAGTAAAGAATATTTTCCCACGATAAAGGTATTTTTGGGATATTGTAGTAAGATCATGGTAGTGTCAGTCAGTTGCAATTTTTTTTATGAAAGTTCTTTTTTAAATCATAAAAACTTATAAGTTAAGTAGATTAAATTATAACTAAAGGGATAATATTTTCAAACGGCTAAGATATATAAATTCAAATTTTCCTAAGTTTGATTTACATTACCATGATTTCTAACTTATTGTTCATTTCATATAAACTTAAATTATTCATATATGAATAAATAATATTTTGTTTTCAGTTACCTATTAAAATTGATATTATTAAACATGCACGTGAAATCGATGGAAAAAGTACTGCAATTCATGCAACTATACTTGCTCCAGAAGATGTGAGAATTTTCACATATCCCAACTTTCCAGAGATATTGGACAAAGAGGAGGTACAACAATAATATAATTTGAATTGTTTTGTGTGTTGAAATTTTAATATAGTCTAAATAATATTACCCCTTAGACTGTTTTAATTTTTCCTAGCCCAATTGCTACATCTGTGGACTCGTTATTCATAAAAAAAAAAGTTGAAGAAGATAATAAAATAATTACGACTAGAATAAAAAATGCATTTCCTATAAAAAGAGCCATTTTCATTGATAGCACATGGCATCAAACAAAAGCTATTTATAAAGATCAAAGATTACGAGGTAATTATACAATTAAATTAATAATAATACTTTTAATATTCATACTGTCCTATATTTATTCATATTTTTTACAATTAAGAACCATCTTTTAAGAATTAGAAACAAATTAATGTCTAATTAATTTGTTTTTTAAGAATTATTGCTAATTACTACGATTTGTATTAATAATAATTCATATACAAGATTTCTGATATACTAATGTTTAAAGCAACATTTTCATCAACATGTACTATTTACAGATTTACATTGTGTCATTTTAAAATCAAGAATATCACAATTCTGGCGTCATCAGAAAAAGAGTCCACGATGGTATTTAGCGACTATCGAAGCAATTCATCAGTTTTTAGTAGAACTGCATACATGCGCATTTGGTGCGATACAAGGTTATGCCGAAGAAAACTCTGCAAATAACGTAATGCATCAACATGCAAACGAGTTACCTGAAATAGATCAAAGATATAAAGGTCAATACGATGATCTTTTATATTTTTTTAAATATATGTATGAAAAGATTCACACTATTTATGATCATGATAAACTATGGGCATATAAGAGGCCATTAATGTAATTCTGTGATAATAAAATATTTTATAAGAAGAGTATTGAATATCCTATAACTGTATTAAAAGAAAAATTTATTTCCATGATCTTGAAAGCATGATCATTAAGTGAATCAGTCATTTACAGCAATTGGTTAGTATGTAATCCGAGAAAACAAGTTAATAAAACCAACAAACTGTTATGTAAAATAGTAATGTAATATCTTACAAAATATTTACACATATTTAAATCTGTCTAAAAGTCATGTGCCTTGTGGAGAAAAATATTAGTTACACAGTTTGTTTTCTAACAGTAAAAATAGTTAAATCAATGATGCAAATATAAACTAATACACATAATTGTTTGTCTCAATATTGTTTTAAACTCTTTTAAATTTTTAAGTTTTTTTCATAGTAACATGTTTGAACAAATATATCTGTGTGTGTGTGTGTTTTGTGTGTATGTGTTTTCTTTATATACGTATAAATCGACATGTTAGATAAACACATTACCACTAGAATGTAAAAAAATGTCAACAACAATGTCAACATATTAAAAATCTCGAACAATTTCCGAAGAGAGGTGGGTGACCTAACAGGTATTTCTAACAAGTCGAACATCAAATTACGTTATCTATACTTTAGCATTGAGGAATCTCTTTGAAAATTTGAGAATACGTGCACACCGTGCATTACAACACAACGACGTCGAAAGGCTGTAAAATCAACAGCAAACATAAGAGCCTACAACAACTTTAGATCGTTTATTACGTTCGAAAATAAATAATGGAGAATAGGGAGTGCGTACGGGAAAGAGAACGTTCCCAAACACACGGGAGGCAGCACGCTGACTCGTGAATAGCTGCTAATGACGTCACAGCGTTCACGTCCCTTGCGTCTCGCGACCCGCGCTGTCCGTCACCCGTCTGCGATGAGTTTAGTTTTCAAAACAAGACTCTGGTCGCCGCTCGTTGGCTGCACCCGCGTCTGAACGAAAACTCGAGTCGGAGCCGGAACCTGCTAACACGGGAGGGTCGTTTGCAGTACAACGGTGTCCCGCGCCGGTAGTAGCCTCTCCTTCCTCCGCTATTTTTCTCGTTAAAACGTGACGAAAAAAATGGACACTCTCCGCGAGCAGGTGATGATCAATCAGTTCGTGCTGGCCGCAGGTTGCGCCAGGGAGCAAGCGAAACAGTTGCTACAGGCGGCGCATTGGCAGTTCGAGGTAAAGAAAAAATGAAAGATTAGCCCTCGTATCATTTACACGGTGAATATTCGGAACGTTCACACATATTTCTGCCCGTCGCGGCTCGATACTTCCTACGTAAACAAAAGCAGCGAAAATGGCCGACCATCCCAGGCGGTACCACCGCCGTCGATCTCATCCGTGGCTATTAACTCGCCGATCGAGAATGCCGATTGAATCGGATCAAACGATACCCCGCCGTTGGCTGTCGTATTATCGCCGCGTTAACGTTCGATAATAACGTAACGTTCTGCAAGTGGAGCGAGCCAGTGAGTACATTTATTACCATTACAGGACGAGGTCCATTCATAAAAATCATCCGATGTTGCTAAGAGGTTTTGTTCGTTATTCGTGGCGACGAATGGGACCACTGCCAGTCTCCGTCGCAAGGTTACGATACGGATTGCTTTTCTAATGCAATACGTTAATATTTATTTACATCGTATTCAAGTTTTAGACTGCGGTTTGTTCGCGAACAATTTGTTAATAACCGGCGCCGTTTATCGTGCGTAAAGTTTCGCCGGTTGAAAATATTAGGGTCGTCTATTGTGCTCGATTCCTTCGAAACCGACTGTAATGTACTTGGCCATTTAACAATGAGAACAATGCTGACATCGCGTGCGGCAATCGCAAACAATAATTATCTTTTCAGTGTAGAACCTTTCCAGGCCTATCGATTCACGGGGCTATCCGTTTGCATTAAAAGCCTCAGTTCGGTTTATGGAAATTAGATTTACATTTAGTCTGCCTGTATAACTCGCTATGCACGTATATGCCAGCGAGTTAATGACCTTTTACACGTAACCTTTATTGTAAGTGTAATGCAGTTTGCATTTTGATTTGTAAACGTAGATTGCATCTAACTTATCGAACGTAACAAGTTTCTTTTACATTCCGTACAATAATCCGTCTCTCAGTTACTCAATTAACAAAACTTAATTGGTCTCTTGTTGGTCAATAACAAGATTTAATAGGAACCTTTTATCTTTTTCTCGATAACACGAAATTCAAATATTAATTAAATTTTGAACTTATAAGATTACTCACTGCTTTGTTTCTAATTAGAAAGTCTAGGATAAGTAGAACAATGACTTCAGAAAGAACTTCATGATGTAACAATAAGGTATCTAGAATAAGACATTGTATTTTTATGTATAAAAATAAAGTTGAAAATAATTTCAACATACAGGGTGTCCCGAAATTAAACGAGCGAGGACTTGATCTACACATAGAAAAAAGAAAAAAAATGTTGTATAAAATTTGACATCAAACACTTGTCATAGAGTTATGAATAATAAATATTGTGTACATGAAATGTGTAAGTAGCAATGCTATTTTCCATTACGGTATACAGATGTGTTCAAGCTATTGTCACTTTATACATAAAAATTCAGTCTCATTTTACCTATTAGTCTAGTAACTATATATATATATTATATATATATATAATTATTATTATGTAAATATCACTATTAAATTAATTATTATAAAAATATCACTATTAAAATTAAAAATAAACAATTTAATTAAAATTGAAAAATTATAAATATCACAGAAAAATGTTACGACAATCGTAATTTGTAAACCAACTAACTAATTAACTACATTTTAATTAACTTAATTTTCTTCATTTTGTGATTTTAACATCACTTCATAATTAAACAGAAAAAATTTTAATACAACTGAATATAATTAAAAATAAAAATAACCTGTTAGGCTCAAAGATGCAGAATATGAATTTTGGATAATAGTAAGAGTTCGAAATTACTCCATTATAAATGTAACATACTTTTTTCCTGTAATCTTCACCTTGCATCTGTAAAACGCGCGAATAAAAATCAACCGGAAGAATCTGGTACACCCCGTATATCACTATAGCATTATATCTTATTTAACATCAATTGTCTATTACCCCTCATTCATGTTATAACTGTACTGGATTAGTATGACTTACGCTTTAAGGTTACACAATTATTCTTGATAATTGAGAAATTTGATAAGAAGAAATGTTATATTATAAATTCTACGGAATTAGGAAGAAATTTTACGTGCATACATGTTAGGTTGTGTAATAAATTCGTTTACTTATTGTGTTACATTTTTAGGAACGTCGTGACAACCTTACTTACGTTATCTACAGTATAGATAAACATTGCTTAACATTTCGTTGTTTGATTACAACGAAAGAGAAACAAATACAATATGAGTGTTTATGCAATTTTATATAATTAGTATTATATGATATAATAATATAATAAAACAGTATGATATTGTTATAATCAGTCAATAATTTGAAGAATCTATAAATAGTAAATTTTAACGTGATTTTTTTAATAAATAATATTTTCTAATAAACTTGAATAAATGAAGAACAAGTATATAGACTTTTAATAGAGTAAAGTGATATTTATATTATTAATTAAATATTAGGTCTTGTACGTATAAATGTAACGATTTTCGACCTTCTCTTAAAATGCAAATGAATTTGTCACAAAATTTAATATTTAGAATGTTTTGACGAAAAAAGTTACAAAATTATGCTTTAATGATATGTAGTTTGTGTTCAATTTATACGTTTTTCATACTTTCACACGATCATATATATAATATGAAGACGCAATTAATATCTTACTAATATCTGTAGTAAGCATCAGCAAAAACTTCTTTGCTAAAAGTTTTCTGCATTTCAAATCCATTTAACAGTAAAAAAATTTTACTCTGCTTATCGACAAATGTTAGCAATTTTAGACCTTAGACGTGTAGACGTATGCATAAAAATGAGTAATAATCAGTAATAATAATGATGGTACAAAATAATATTGAGAGACATTACACTTAGCCAGAAAGCCAGAAAATCAATAAAAATAAAGTTGGCTATATTTTTCTCATGTAATTTCTTTATATAAAGTGTAAGTAAGAGAATCAAAAATACCTAACAGGAAATATTATATCACTGCAAAAGATTACCAGTAATACTCAGCCACAAGTCTTGATAAAATACAAAACTTAATTTCCTCTTTCATAAGAGATATTTGATGTGGCTTCATTCCAATATACATAACATAATATTTGAATATTCTTACCTTGTTCCACTAATTGTAATTCTACTACAATGTTTGTTTTACACGTGTGAATTCAGAATAAATTATAAAATAATTCGTTTTTCATTAAAAACATTTATTTTAGAGAACTTACGTTTGTATTATTCCGCTTAATTATGAAGAGAGAAAATATTTATTAAATATTATTAATGTTTCTCTTCTTTAATGATTTTTCTAATTCTTATTTTTTAATAATATAGTATAATTTAATAAATATAACGTAATAATAAAATAGACGTTATAATTTTCTCATTAAATTTTATTTAGAATTATATTATGACAATATTTTTTGCAGCATTTACCAAATACAAATTAAAATTGTATTTAAATTTTTTAAATAGAATCTAGGTATATTTAAAACAATAAACTTCAAATTCATAATACAATATTATTATTCGCTTCTTTTTTTCGAAATAAACTTTATCTAAGATATGAATAAATATAATTAACAACAATGTTACTTTTATAGCTAAATCGATTTTATATCTTATATTTGTAAGGATTTAAATGATGATTCGTTTTATCTTAAAAATTATAACTCTACTTTGAATATTTTACATATTTTTGTTTATTTTCGCATCTTTAAATGTCGCATAAATGCATAAAAATCTGCAATCTAATCATATAGATAACATACATCCATAGGATGGTTCGTTTGTCTTGAATTAATGTATACAACTTAATTAATTCAAATTATATAAAAATTTGTC